TTTAATTTATGTAGTCCTAAATAAAGTCTTAAAAAAAGGAAGACCAATAGAATGCATTTTGCAGTGCTGATATGTTTTTAAAATGACCACATTAGTTAGTTTACAGTTGTATATCTGATTGTTTTGCAGTTTGTCAAATTTATGTTTATGAAAACTATGCAGTGCTTATTCCACCCCATTTAGCAAACAAGCGAGTGCACATTAGATGGTGTGAGTGGATACATTTGTGTTTGAGTGAGTGTGTGTCTATGTAGCTTTAGAATTTGTGTGTTAGTGTTTGTGTCTATAGGACAGTTATCTTATTGTACACAACTTGGGGTGTTCGACATTTCTCTCCTGCAGCGAATTGGCCCCTATTAGCTAAGCAGCAATGACCCGGTTTGTATTTGCACGCTCTGCTTTCTTACTCCTATCTTTAGGGTCCTTGTAACGCTTCTCTGACTATCTTTCTCTCGCTCTCTCTCTCTCTCTCTCTCTCTTTGGCTATCTCTGTTTCACTACTGTTAAACTTTACATCTATTCTCTCTCTACCTCAGTTTCTCTCTCGCTCCCTCCCTACTACACAGTGATTCGGTGTACAGTACCCTCTGTCATTCTGTGCTGGCATGGTGCTTGTGCAACTGGGACTGCATTTTTCGCTGAAAAGGCACTTCGATAATAGCGCAGGCAGCTGTCTTCTTTCTGTCTTTCTTACTTTCTCCATACCCCCGTTCTGTCTCTCAAGCAGTGTGGTGAGCAGGCCCAAACTCTGCTTACTTTCAGTTTTAGATCACTTTACGAAGCATGTCAGATAGAATCAGTAACCACATAGAGTTAAATAACTCTGAAATACAATTAAATTACTATAAAAACAGAAACAAATTCTTTAATCACAGAGTATACAATAGTAAATGAGTATAATGATGGATGAAAAATGATGAACTCAGGTAAATTCTAAGTACTGTAAAATAATTTCTAACCTCAATATTAGCTTGAAAAATAACCTGCATGTTTTGGATTAAACATAGCTGTATGCTATAAAAGGATTTTACCGAGCCCTTGATTTGACCAAGCCTTGTCGAATTTTTAAGAAAGGGTAGTAGGTAGTACTCTGTTAACCAAGAACATTAAAAGATTCTATCTATGTAGAATTTTATGTATGAAGCAGTTCCTCACAGATACAAAAATGATCGTACCGTGTGGGTGAGAGAGGAAGAAAACAGTGAGGGGGAGAGAGGTGGCCTGCTCACCCGGCTTAAGTGGCTCTTTTGCTCCTGCGCTATTATTTGTGGAGGGGTCCTGAGGGCCATGCTGCAGCATCACACAGCTCCTCACACGTCAGCAGAGGTGTTGTCAACTGTCACTTAATTGCCAGTACCGTTAGTGTTATTGAACATAATTGTTTTGGATGGTGCATGCTCAAAAGCAAGGTGATTTTACCTACAGTGCTGTGCAAAAGTATTTAGGCACCCACCATTTATTCATATTTTCCTTTCAAATAGCCAGACCTTCTTGTAATTTTTTTTAAGTGGCCTTGTGCAATAGCTCTCCAGGCTTTCTGAAGGTCTTTAAAGGTTTTTCTTTGGATATTAAATACTTTTTCATGTATTTTAAGACTAGCTCTTAAAATGAGAGGCCATTTTCAGAAGCTATTGTTTCTTTGTTTTTTGTTTCTTTTCTTCTTTTTTTTTTAAAGCCACTTAACACTGACCTGTGAGTCACTGAAGCATAAAAAAGGCACCTTTTCAAGATTTGAACCTGTGTTGTTTCTACTCTACTCATAACTGAAAATGTAGCAAAGAACCACATTTAATAATATCCTTAGGCACTTTGTCACTAGCCGCATGTAATAGAAACATCATTTGTTCCCATTTGTATAGTTGAATCTATGAAAAATGTCAACAATTACAGAGTTTGCCAGGCTTAAAATAGTATTTTTGGAAGCTTTTGCAATCTAATTCTCAAAGAGCTATTAGCCATAAACCCAGCAAATCTCGCTGTGGTATGTTTTTAAAAAAATATTTGAGTTTCAAGAACTGGAGGACAAAATGGCAGGCCTTTAACAAAAAAAAAAGCAAATAAATGTATCTGAAAGAAAACATTAAACGTGGGGAAAAGAAACATGATATTGTTATCAATATGTACGGAAGAGTTCAGGAGAGGGGTACAACCATTTGTAAGACCTGTTAGAGGCTCTGTCATGGTTTGGGGCTGCCTTTCAACCAGTGTTGTTTAAGATCTTTTCAAAATTGAAGGAATTATGATCACAAAAAATGCGGGCAACACCTTCATTTTTCAGCCTGACAACGATGCAGTGCAGTAAAGGCATGTCTTTTTATAGAAATGCACACTTTGGAACATTAACAATCATGGATTGGTCTCCCCAGACCATGGCCCTCAACATTATTGAAGCAGTGTGAGATAATCTTGGCTGAAATTCTGTTTTTGAACAGAACTTCTGTTCTGTTCAAAAAGCAGCCATCATCCAAAGAAGAGTTTTTAACTGACCTCTAATTAGCCTGGAGTACTATTCCTGAGGACTGCTTAAATAAATGATAAGAAAGCTTATTAAGAAAGAAGGTTCAGGATGTGCTGATGAATAAAGGTGTTCATTCCAAATATTGACTTTCATACTCATTAGAATTGTACAAACTGTTTTTTTTGGGGTTTTTTTTTTTTTGCAGATGTTTCAATAAGTCGCTTCACCTATTTCCCATTCGCTAGTAAAATATAAATAACCGAGGGGTGACTCAAGACTTTTGCACAGTACTGCGATGCAATCAAATATCAGATGATATTTGGTGATTCAGAAGATATTATGAGGCTGTTCTTAATTATTATTATTTATTTATTTTTAAAGGCGTAGTACAGTTTTTAAAGCAAAAAACGTAACTATATTAAGCTGACAAATCCCCAAAAGCATGTTTTAAAAACAGAATTTCATACTTGGATGTAAACGACACATAAATACAAGTAGATCTGAAAGTCTGCATTAAATTTTAAGCTACGTTTTTATGTTGACACTTCTATCCCAGCTTCCTTAGTGAAAACTTCTAAGGCAGTAGAATTTGTGGCAGTTGATCACCAGTGTTACATCTCGGAGCTGTTGGTGAATGCTTTGGCCCAGCTTCTCGGAGCCCCTCTCCAGCCACTTATTGTGTGTGATCTATAGGCAGCTAGAGGTCTGTGGTACTTTATTGGGATCTTTTTTTCTCTTCCTATCTTTCCCATTTGGTCTTTGCTATTTTCTCTAACACTGTTTTTTGCATTGCATGTGTTAACTTGATAGCATTCAGTACTATTTCCGCTCAACACTCTGTCTTAATCACAACTACAACCTTTTCTCCCAGACTCATTCCCCCCACGTCTCTTGACCCTCCTAGTCCCTCAATCCTACCATCCTCCTTCCTTCCCTGACCTGACCCAGTACCAGAGCGATATGCAGTGGGCAGCCTCAGAGCCACAGAAACCACACAGATGTGCAATCCTAGAAACATGAGTATTCAGGCCACAGGGAGATTTATTTCTTTATTGTGTATTTACTGGGCTTCTTGTAGACATCATGATTGTCTTAACGTTACCAAGGTTCTAATAGGAACATTTGGGTGACAGTGTATCAGCTGTTACTGAAGTATGTAGGGTCTTGCATTACAGCCAGACAGTATCTGACACAGCTGTTTGTCCTTGTTTGACGTCTGTCACATAAAAGGTAGGAAGAACAACAGCACAAGCAAAAGGTCAAACACAACTGACCCACATTTTTCACAACACCACAGGTTCTAAATTTACCACAGCTACCAAAGGGGTCATAATTGAGACTATCACAAATGATTTAAGTAGCTATTGGACATCAACACACTCTCACACACAAAAAGAACAGGAACAGTTATCTGTTTGGAGGTGTTTATTTCTTAACTACACTGCTAAATTCCCTCACCTTGAATTGTGGCTTCAGAATTATGAGGTAAGTACGTGTTTTTAGTTATTTTATTTTAAATAAATTAAATAAAATTGACTCCCCCCCCCTTTCTCCCTAAATTAGTAAGTGAAATCTTTAAAATCTGCCACATCTACACATACAAATAGGCTTATTATTTTATTTATTTGCCTTTTCATGCACTTAGATGGTTGTTTTCATTTAGTCATACGTAGAGTAACTGACAACTACAGAGCTTCACTTTCAAGGCAATTGCTAAAATGAACGAGGAGCTGCAGAAAGCAATCTTGTCTACCACCACTGAAAATACGTGGTTTTTGTTAGCTTTGGTCCATACGTTTATAAGTATGCCTGTCCAGTGTTGGCATGTCTTTGTTAATCTGAGCTAAAGCAATTTCTCACACCCTGACAGGGACACACACATACTGTCTCATTAAAATGGCTGCATAGGCTCTCACTAAAAGTAAATACTCTGAGGTCTCTAAATGGGGTCCCCTGCATATCACTTTCCTTTTTACATATCTGTTGCCATGCACTGTGCCATTGAAAGCACATTGCACACTCTTGAACACCTCCTCTTGTAGAGGTCTTTGTTTGGATAACATTTTCTATTTTTTTTTCTTTCTCTTGTATTAACAGTCAGTTGGTGGATTTATTGAAATGCCTACCTTTTTCTGTTTGTATACAGTATTATGTTTGTTTTAAAGCAGAGAGAGATTTGTATTTTTAAGAACTAGAGAAGCTAGCAGAATTGCAGTTGAAAGCGTTTGGCCGGTTTCTTACGTTGTGTCACGTGTGACTGTTTTTTTGACAGCCCAGTATTTTAAAGCCAGGTTCGTATGGAAATGCCTTCACTCCACTTGCACTGCTGTTGGACTCGCCGTCGTTGCTTTCATCTGTCTGTCTGTCTATTCTTTTGGTGCACTCGTCTGTTCAACACCCAGTCTGCTCCTCATCTCCGCCCTCTAACTTTTGCTGAACACATTTTGAACGCATCGTTTTCTCACTGTCAGCAGTTGGAACTGTTGCCTCATCCAACAATGCCCTTGCTGGGGTTT